TCCAACTTCAGTGCTTGTCCTGGGTGGCGCCATGTGCCTCTGTCTCCTCGGTGTCCAGATGGCGCCCACCAGTCTGGGTTTTATGGCTATCACAGCCACTGGTGAGGCTCCTTGAATCTGCAGCTCTAGGAGGAATAGCAATGAGCTGCAGCAGGAATGGGTGAGGAGCATTAAAGGGGATCAGTGCGGGATGCCACAAAGCACTGCTATTGAGGAAGTTCCGAGCCCAGAGCCCATTTACCCACAGTGGTCAGTGGCTTCTAACATGGCCCGCAATGATCCCACCTTCTCGGCCCTCAGGTATTCTCCTTCCTCTGAGTGTGGGCTGGACCTACAGACTCACCTCCAGTCAGTAGAATATGGCAAAATGATGGGATGGCCCTTCCAAGATTAGGTAATAAGAAGACTGTGGCTGTCTTGGGCTCTCCTGCTTTCTCTCTCCCTTCCTGATCACTGTGCTAGGGCACCAAAGTGGCCCAGATTGTAGAGGCCCACTGCCGTGGTATGAAGCTGAGGCCCTCAGTCCAGCAGTCCATGGGAGTGCAACGTGGAAGTGGTCCCTACCCCTTGCCACAGCTGAGCCTTCGCTGAGACCAATAGTGTCACTGTGACCTCATGAGAGACCTTGAACTGAAACTGCCCAGTTAAGCCACGGCTGCACCGAAGCTGCCCAGCTAAGCCATGGCTGAACCAAAGCTGCGGTATTTTGGGATAACTATTTAGGCAGCAATAGGTAACTGACATATTCCCTTGGAAGAATCCCTCAGAGAGCCCGTATGATTAATCATCTTGACCGGGACAACTCTGCAAATGAAATCACACTGGGAAGACAGGTGTACACTTGGACTGTTCCTGGGAAATCAGAACATGGAACAAGAGGAGCAGCTGTGGCCTGTTTGGAATTCTCCACGTGTTGGCTCCTGTGGTCCTTTCATGCCCCACATCCTACTTGCTGGAGGTGCTGGATGCCAACTTCTCACTGCAGGAACACCTAGGTCTTGGCGTTCTTTACTTTGGCATTTGCCCCTGTATGGCCTCGAGAGGCCCAGTCGTCTTCAACGCTCCATGCCCTCTTGCATAGGGAACACTGCAGGAGCTCTGTCCCCTCGGCATCATGACCTGACCCTGCCATCTCTGTTTTGATGGCCATGGGCATTATTGGCAGGAAGACGTCCATTCTGCTTGGAGTCCAAGCCAACAGTAGGCCCCCCTCTCCAGCAAACATGGCTCTGGTGGTCCTTCTGATAAAGGTTGAGCTTACGTGGGGCAAGGAACAGAGTCCCCTATTCCAGGAGGGTTTTTGCAGGAATGCTGTGGGCTGGGGCTGGAACATGTTCGGGATGAGCCTCTCCCTCCATCTCTCATGGTGCCTGCTTCCTGTCTTCTTGCCGCTGAACAGCCCATGGTTTCTATGGCCTCCTCCATCCTGAATCCCAGAAGGAACCACTCTGATTGCTTTAGCAAATTAATGCTAAATTAATGCTCTGAACAGGTTGTTCTTAAAATTAAAAAACAAAACAAAACACAACACAACAGACCTAAAAGCAAAAAGCCAAAGGAATCACCCCATGAGAAGGGAAGGCTCACAGGAAGCATAGGTGGAGGAACCTGCCAGTCTTTGCAGGGCAGAGGCTGCATTCAGGCAAAGGCCCAGTCTCAGGGCTGCGTGCACACCCAGTTCCTTTGGTCTCATCTCTGCTGTCTAATGTAAGTTCTCTCTAAGCCTGATGACCTCTTTTCTGGCCCTTTGTTGCCACAGAAATGGCCCAGCCAGCTGAGCCTCTGTCCAGGCTCTCCAGTGGCATGAGAGACTCACGCCCTTAGGAGCTCACCATTGTGGGGAGGCTGCTGACTTATGTATGGGCCACTTTTAGGGACAATGCTCACACAGGTGCACAGAGCCACTACTCCTGGGCAACAAATAGCCACGTTGGCTCCTTGAGCAGGAACTGAGGGTGGGGGCCAATCAGCTGGAATGGGACACTGGTTATGGTCGCACCCTCGAGGCCCCTCCAGAAGGGACTCAACCATGTTGTGGCTGGTGAGGCACTACCATGATTGAAATATTGAATCACATTGAAATAATAAATCATACTCAATAAGAATATAATTAAAAAGGCCAGGCATGGTGGCTCACGCCTGTAATCCCAGCACTTTGGGAGGCCGAGGTGGGCGGATCATGAGGTCAAGAGATCGAGACTATCCTGGCTAACATAGTGAAACCCCGTCTCTATCAAAAATACAAAAATTAGCTGGATGTGGTAATGTGTGCCTGTAGTCCCAGCTACTCAAGGGGCTGAGGCAGGAGAATCACTTGAACCCAAAAGGGGGAGGTTGCAGTAAGACGAGATCATGCCACTGCACTCCAGCCTAGTGACAGAGCGAGATTCCATCTCAAAAAAAATAAATAAATAAAAAGAATATAATTAAGAGGCTGAAAATGAATCCTCATTAATTGGAATTATCGCTTGAACTAATTTTTAAATAGTGCCTCACTACTTAGGGACCATCAACGATAGGCACCACCCATTTATTTCCACCACATTGTGGGGCCTCCTGTCCTGAAGTGGAGACAAAACTCTCACGGTCACTTCCGATGGGGTGTGTGGTGACAGCAGTTTCTCTGGCTCCCTCACAGTTCTGAGTTTGCAGTGGCAGGAACTGAAAATGACTCCTGAACCCTGATGTTGCCCCTTCCCTGACCACCTCAAGGGAGGTGGGCAGGTGCAGCCACACATGAACTGCTGCCCCGTGCCCTTCTGGTGTGACACTGGTGGTGTGATATGGCTCATCCTGACACTGCAGGTGTCACAGTGAGCTGGAAAGTACTGGTGACTATGTTCCACCTTTGGGCTCCATCCACGGAGGCTGCTTGCAGAAGCCCCCCGACAGCCAGTACTCACAATTCCCTCCTCTCGATATAAAGCCTCCTTCCTATGGGAGCCCTCACATGTTAGCAAGCTCGATGTTAATTAAGCATTAATAGAGTGGAGACCAACTGATTTCTCTGTCAACTGCTCCAGCTCCCATTCCAAAGTATCTTTGAAAGGCAATAAAACATGGAGTTTTGATAGATTTTTGCAAGACAGGCATATGAGCAAATGCAATATTACTTTCTCAGTTACTAGAGCTTTTTAAATTGATTACTAATCAGGGCCCAGTTCAATTTCTCTTAAGTGTCTGTTCCAAGAGGTGAAAACTTTTCAAGGAGTTTAACAAGGGACTCTTGCAACTTCTCTTGATACACAAACTGTAGCAAATGGTCTTCTCCCTGTCAAGTAATTTCAAACAACTATCAAAAAACCACACTGAAAAAATTGCAAAACGCTTCAGGTAGAGAACTTCAATTATTCTTGGAAATATGATTAATAAGAGACTGAAAAATGCACTCATGTTTATTGGCGTTGTTGCTTAAACTAATTTTTGAATAGTGTCTCACCACCTAGGGAAAACTAAATCACCTTTTCAATGAAGAGACACAAGTTAATTTAGAGTCACTAAACAGGCCATTAGGAAATATGTCTCTTGCCTAACAGTTAAAAACCACACACACACACACACACACACACACACACACACACACACGATTGCCAATTTAGAATGATTTGATGTATGATATTTTGACTTCTTGCTGGTGTGAAAGTGATACACATTCAGTATAAACTCTATACAACTGTGCTCTTTTTCACTCTCAGTACAGTATTCAATAAATGACATGGGATATTCAACACAACTATAAAGTAGACTTTGTGTTAAATGATTTTGCCCAATTGTAAGTGTTCTGAGCACGTTAAAAGAGGGCTACACTTTTTAGAAAAACTTTTTAAAGCTATGATGTTGGAATGCATCTTTGGCTACAGTATTTTCAACTTACCATGGGTTTGTTGAGCTGTAACCTCTACGGTAAGTCAAGGAGCACACACAAAACTACGGATAAGTAAGGTATTCCCCAAGCCTGCCTTAAAGACGAGCAACGCTATCCGCGGCCCAGGACTCCTGCTCTGGGCGGAGGCCTCCCTGGAGCGGTCCAGCTCTTGGCAGCGCTTGGCGCTGTCACCCAAACGCTGCTTCGTTCAGTGCTGTTCCCGGTGGAACAGCCTGTGGTCCAATGTTGCACAGTTCAGGATTTCAGGGGAAATCCCAGGCAGACTGTACTGACCATCACTGAATATTTTCTACACGATTGCAATCATTGTCCCTATTCATAAAACAACTTTCAGCGTTCGGGGAGGGCACTAGTGCCCGGCTCTGGGCTGGACGACGGGGTTACCTCGGGAATCTCGCGGCGGGCACGGGTCCCAAGGCCTGCGGCGACAGCACCGGGAGGGAGCCCAGGCTCTGCACACCGAAGGGGTCTTCGGAAGTAACCCCGCGGACAGGGAGTGGGAGGTGCTCCGTGTGCAGAGCCTGCGGAAATAACCCAAGTGGTCTCGTGGGAAAGAAACGGGCCTCACTCTGCTTAATCCAGAATTTATCAAGGGTGCATGGTCACAGACCCCCGCCCCAACGCCCCGGTGCTCTGGTACGACACCATTGCTTTTTTGAGAACGGCTGTGCACAGCACGCAAAAGTCTTCAGCAAGCCCGACCGCCAGCTTCCTCCTCTGCAGGTTTTCCTCACCTGCAGCCCAGGACCCCGCCCCGCCCCACCCCGCCCCACCTCTCATCG